CTTCATTATGCCGGATCTTCCATGTAGGGGATTTCCAGTTGGACGACAACTACAAGTTGCCATATTTGTAGGCAAGAAAGTAGGCTTTAGAAAGCTTTGAAAAAAGATATCAGCTAAAAGATGGATGTGATCAATAATAATATTATAAATGAGGCTTAATTGCCTTTATCGTCTTTGCCATTCACTCAAATCTCAATATCTTTTGGCATAGAAGCCACTATCCACCCTAGGTGTGCACCTCCACCGTACACCCAAAAAAAATCACTCAATGGATGTAGGAAATAAATAAAAATATACCTCATCTCCTTTTCTAATCCGTTGTCCAGCATTTATCATCACCTCGAGCATGCGGTCCTTGAAACGCCAATGAAAAAAACAATTTGGCTGAAAGGAATGATTCAGCATATCTGAAAAAAATAACTCAGTTGATTTAGTTTATGACAGAGTATAGCCAAGATAACTACCATTTTCATTCCAGTATTTCGATGAAATTGAACTAAAATTGCTTAGAATAAGAAACAACATGACAGCAGTTCGGCTCCAGAACAAAAAGGAAAGCAGTTTACTGATCCAAAATAATTCCATGGACCCTGATTCAGAAGTGGTTTTAGAACTGTAGCTTGCATGCACTTCCAGACTTCTAACTTTTGTAGGCACACTAACACAGAGTATGCTTATTCTAGTGGTTCGTGTTTCAAAACTCATGCTAAACTATTCAGGGAAGGACTGTAGTACATTCTATGGGAACTTCCACCTGTACAACATCTCTGGGAAATTTTGTCATTCAATGTGGTTATTTCTAGGTGTAGTTGCGTGGAGATTGAAGAGAAGATTGATTACTTCATTTGTCATGTGGATTACCTTACTTTTTCTAGATAAGAAACAACTTTTATCAATAACGAGTAAAAAGCATTACTGTAATCATCATTGAAAGTTAAAACCATATCAATGGTGAACAAGACATCCAATCCAATGATATATCCAAACCAACTAAAAAGCCGTACTACATTCCGCATTGTGCTTTCTTTCTGATTAACCATCAAAAGTACTAATTTATTATATTTAATGTTTGGTTAATTATATAATATCTGAGCTTATATGTGATAAATTTTTGGATTTTTCACTTTGATTCTTTTTTTGGTGTTCGATCCATTTTTGCTGGTAAAAATGGTTGATTTAGAGCATGATTGGACAAACGAGATAAAGTGGATAATTTAGGAAGTATCAACTAGACCCAGGAATGCTAATTGGCAATTTAGAACAAAACATATTGATTTGGAACAATTCGAATACAATGTGGATGCCCAAACCTGTCCTAGCTTGGAAGAGCACGCAAAACGAGGAGGTTCCAAATACCTAGAATTGTTCGGACGCAATGATTGACATTCAATACATCTAACGAGAAGACCGTCTAGACGCAATTCCTTCGTGCGGACACAAGCATGAAGGTTGGACTTTCCAAAGAATTTAAAGTGTTGGGACACCAAGTCTATTGTCCAGACACATTAATGAAGATATGTGGAGACCGTCTGGACGCACCATTTATATGGCTTTTTCAATTGAAATTTCTTTTTAATTAAATTGTTATTTTTTCAAATCAAATCCAACTTTCAATTAAACTTTGACTGTTCTTCCTTACCAAATTCGCAAATTACCTTTAATCCCTGTAATTCGACCTTAGACTTATTGAAAAATTATTACTTATTAACCACCGTTCCCGGAGATCAGAAAGATCAATATAAGAAGACGAAGAAGGAAGAATCCGCTTTCACCAACAAGCTACTTGGAGACACCTCTTTCCGGGTAACTTCATTTCATTCTGTAATTGTCTTTCAGATTCATTGTATGTCATCAATTAATTTGTTTTAGGATAGACTTATATTCATTAGTGACTCCTCAGATCCTAACCAAGCTGAATCTCCATTCAAAGAGTCAGTACGATTAATTAATCCATCTAGTCCTTTGAGCCAACTAGTTCAGAGTCAGTTACATTCCCCATTTTTAGTCTAATTAGAATGGGTAGTGAGATGGTGACTGTGATCGTAACCAGCTATAAGAGGTAAATCAGCAAGGTCGCCCTCACTAAACTAACTTGAATTTGAACTACAATTCAGATCAAGTCTTACTAAAATCGAATTTCCTTTTCACGCCATATGCGCTTAGACTTTACTTTTTTTTTTTTCCTTTTTCTTCCCGGTCCAATATTGATTCTCGAAGGTCTTCATTTCCATGTAGAAGGCAAAATCCTGAGGGATTATCTACATTCCGCTTGGAGTAGTGCCTCGTCCTATTTCTATTCCCTGCCAATGCTCAAAATTTCACAGTGAAACCGAGCGCTATTCAATTATTACCTCAGTTCCATGGGCTTGAGTCTAAAAATCCTTACCTGTACATGAAGGAATTTGAGGATGTATGCAAGACCTTTTAGAATAATTCTAATGGTGCCTGTCTCAAGCTTTTTCCCTTTTCACTAAAGGACAAAGCCAAAATGTGGCTCAATTCGTTAAAGCTCCTATCCATACCCAATTGGCCAACCCTTCAAAAAGAATTCTTCAAAAAATTCTTTCCTCTTCACTGTACCAATGCACTTAAACATCATCTCATAAATTTCTCTAGCAAGGAAGAGAAATTTTTTTATCAATATTGTGAGAAATTTAAGGATCTGCTCCAAGCTTATCCCCGTCATGATTTTGAAAACTGGAGATTAGTAGACTTTTTCTATAATTCTCCCCCCACTACTTTGTGTCAGTTTGTAGAGATGATGTCACAAGGAGAGTTTGTGAAAAAGAAGTCCTGATGAGATATTTGACTTCTCTGATACCTTAACCGAGAGTTCCCAGATGTAGGACTTGGCCTCACCAACCAATATAGAACCTAAGAGTCTAAGACCACCACTCCCCAAAGAGGAAGTATATATTAAAGGAAGAGGATGACCTTAGTGCCAAGATGGCCACCCAGTCCCGTAAGCTAGAGGTTTTAAAGATGAGGAAGTGAATGAAGTGACTGTTGCGCCTCCCATAGAGCAGGTTTGTGAGATATGTGTTTTATAAGAGCATCCCCCGAGGGAGTGCCCTACTATACTAGCGTTTGAGAAAGTGTTGTTGGAACAATCCAATGCAATCTCCTGATTTAACAAGCTATACTCCAACTCATACTCTTTAACAAGCTATACTCCAACCCATACTCTAAGACTTATAACCTAGAATTGAAAAACCACTCAACCTTCAATTGGAGGAATGCACAGCAGTCCCCCATCAATCACCCACCACAAGGACTATCACCAACACAATACCCACTATATCAGCCACCTCAAAAACGAAGTCTAAAGGATACTCTTAACTAGTTTATACAAAGCCCAAATAAATTACAATAACCAAAGCGCTCAAGCTTTAATGACTTTAAAGCCCAGACTTCACAGTCTATTGACAATATTAAGAATCAAGTACATAAGTTGACACAGTCCATGACCACACAAAAGAAGGACAAATTTTTTGCCCAAACCAAACAGCCACAAGATCAGTTTCAATTAGACCATGCTTCCACTATAGACACTCCACAAGAACATATTCAAGTCATCACCACTCTTAGGAATGGAAAAGTTGTAAACAAGGCCACACCACTACAAAACATTGAGTCAACACCTGTTGTTAGAGCCTACACAAGTCTCCCCCAATGAGACTAATCCCAAGAGAAACGAGAAGCCAACATGTCCCATACCTGCTCTTTTCCCCCAAAGACTAAAGAAACCCTAGAAGTTGAGTACCCATTAGGATATCTACGAGTTGTTCAACCAAATAAAGATCAACATATCACTTCTAGATGTCATCAAACAAGTCCCTTCATATACCAAATTCTTAAAGGAATTGTGTACAGTTAAAAGGACCATGAATATTTAAAAGAGGGTCTTGCTCACTGAACTGGCAAGTGTCATAATCCAACACAAGACCCCTCCTGAGTACAAGGACCCTGGATGTCCTACAATTTCAGGAATCATCGAAAACTTCAAGATTGAGCAAGCTTTGCATGATCTTGAAGCCCAAGTCAATCTACTCTCTTACTCAGTCTACCAACAATTAGGTCTAGGCGAGCTCAAACCTACCGGTATCACACTTTAGCTGGCAGACAGTTCTATTAAGTTTCCAAGGGGAGTAGTTTAAGACTCAGGATAGTACATTTACAAATTTGACATGAAGTCACCTATTTTGCTTTGCTTATTTGTCACTTATTATGGAGTTTTTGTTGGAGGAAGACTGTTTGAGTCTAGTTAGAGAATTAGAAGTTTTACCTAAGTTAACCCCAAGTGGTGACAAGCCACTTTCATCAAGTGTCAAACCACCAAAACCTAAATTGAAATCCCTCCCATTTAATTTGAATTATACTTTTCTTGGGGAGGATGAGGCTTACCCAATGGTGATTTCATCTAAGTCGCAACAGCTTTGCTATTGATTTCTGCAATTAGGGTTTTTCATGTAGGTTTCTTCCCTCCTTTCCTTTTTTCTTTAATTTTTGCTAGTTTTCTGAGATTTTGGTGGAAATTTCACCATATCAGAATGAATCAACCATGTCAAACGAATTGACTCCGAGTTGGGCCAATTCATCTGAGTCATGACCGATTCAGGTGCGACTCGTGATATTTTTGTAATGGGTACCACTGTCATATCAGAGGAGGTGAGTCATAATAGACTTGGCCAATACCTTGACTCGTGATTCAGGTTGCAAATAACTATATTTTCAATGAGCGGACCCATGTATATCAAGATTAACTATTATGTTGTGCACCACCGTCTTAAGCTTTTGCATATATCATTAAACATAGTTTAGTCTTTTTTGTTGTAGGTTTCATTTTCGCTCTTGCACTTACTTTCTATACCAGTTTTGGAATTCCGGATTGCTGCTCAAGGTTTTTTTTTCTCTCTTCCTCTTTGCATAGTTTGATAAGTGTTCAATTACGAGAGCCCATGATCCTATCTGCCCAACAGTAGACAAGAAGATGATAAAGACTAATGCAGAAGAAGCTCACCAGCATAAGGAATAAACATATTCGCATCTTGAACTAGTGCACCAATTCTCATTTGCAGGTTACTGCATCGAGATTGTGCCATACTCACTGCCCAAATAAATCTCTCCGGCTCACAAGCAAGGCGCTTTATTTTAAGAGGTACAGCAGAGTGCTAAAACAGACAATGTGTCAAGATATAAGTAGTAAATATTGAAGCCCGATAGGAAAATTGCATGAGACTAAGAATGAAAAGAGGATAACAAGATTGCTCCATACCCAATTCTTTTCCCAAAATTTTAAGGCTCGATTTTGCTGTTCTCTCATGGTTGAAGCGAGATTATGATCCTGCAGCTCCAGGAGGTGTTCCTATTGCGTAGTAGAAGCAACACGATGACAGAATGGTTAGGCAATATAGCAAGGAGCTTTGTAACAATGCAAAAAACTTCACTCATGGAAATTTTTCAAAACACACATCTCATGCAGATTAAACATCTTTACCACATTTCGCAGATCTAAGAGTTTTGAAAACTATTAAACTACTAAGTAGAGAAAGATGGGATTATCAAGAGATGACTTGATATGAAGGAGTGAGCTTAACAATATTTATAGCAATAAGTTTTCAGGAAGAGATTAGTTGCATGTGTAAATATATTGAACCATATAAGTGCCTCGAGCATCAAATCTGACTGAAGTATTGAGCATNTTGATATGAAGGAGTGAGCTTAACAATATTTATAGCAATAAGTTTTCAGGAAGAGATACGTTGCATGTGTAAATATATTGAACCATATAAGTGCCTCGAGCATCAAATCTGACTGAAGTATTGAGCATAGTATTATTTGCTCATCAAAACTTTAAGATTAAGTCACAGCATTTTCTACAAGCTTGCATCGAGCATAACTCCGAAAATAAAAACATCAAACATATTTTACAATGTTTCACACATCAAATATTTACTAAACCACAAAATTTCTAACGAGGATAGACTTATTGATAGGAATCAGATTATATTTCATTATAGTAGGCGTAGGCGTAGGCGTAAGGATTAGGAGTTATTTGTCATTATACTTTTCGGGGGTTTAGTTGTCATTATGACTATTTATTTTTTTTAGAGTTCTTTTAGGATTTGTGGTCTCCCTATATATATAGAAGATATTTGTTTTGGGGAGACTTTGATTATTTATTATTGATGTTGAATCTTCTTTCTAAAATTCTCTCTATTCTCATCTCCTACTTCTTCTTCTTCTTTTTTCATCCCTTTGTTCTTCTCTCCTCATCCCTAATTCTTCCTTAACACGATCTACATCAATTTGGTATCAAAGCATAACTTCGATTTGTACAAATCACAAAAATCTCAACAACGCCGTTCATCGAAAAAAAACATAAAAACTATTCGTGCGAAATCACTGTTCACCGGCTGTCCAGGTAAAAAAAAACTTTGGCAGATTCTTACTGTTCATCGTTCTTGTTCTAGGAAAAAAAAAACAAATAATTGTGCACTGTTCATCGTTGTTATTGTTCATTGCGCCTATTTTCGTCGTTGACCTGTGCTGCTTCGACTTCATCGCTACCCATCTTCTTCCTCGTTCCATCGTGTTAAGGAAGTAAACATCGCTTTTAACCCTTTCACCCCCATAAAGCTCCAGAATTACAGGAACCTCCCCAAAAATTCCCAAAAATTACAGAATCACCCCAGAAGTTCTAATAAATTGCAGAAATATCATCCAAAAATTCTAGTATTGCAAAAACGTCCCAACAGGTTCCAAAAATTACAGAAACATCACCCCAGAAGTTCCAGAAATTACAAAAATACCCCAGAAAGTTCTACACTTTGTAAAATCATCCCCTAACTTCTCAAACATCCTTTTAGAGTTGCATCTAACACCAGGTACGAGTTATTTTCGTTGAGAATTGGTGACTACTATTTATATTTATTGGTAAGTCAAACAAAAAAACCTAAACTTTCTTTGTTTGTTGTTCCCGCATACCACCTTCATAACCTTCTTTGTTTATTGTTCCCACACACCACCTTCATAACTTAGCTTACCCAATTTCTCCTTCGTGAGCTTTCAGAATCCCATACTACATTAGAACAAAAATTTGAGACCCTCACCATTGATATGACCGATACTAAGCAATCAGTCGACTTGTTACGTGAAGAAGTTAAAGGAATGGGGCAACAACTTTCTCAAGTTACTACTCAACTAGCCCAATTGACTAAGTTTATGGAAAAACAACCAATGGACTATGACCAGAGTGAGTCACAAGTTTCACCTAAGTCTAACCAAGTACCCAATGTTCGGCATTTGCCTCTCCCGATAGATCCTACTGACTCATGTCAAGGTGTCTTACCCACTCCGCAAGTAGCTCAGGGGAGCCAAATACAGCGTCCAGATAGGAAAACACCTCCTAATACCGCTTTTGGACGAAACATAGGTCGTAGGAATGTTCAGGAGGATCCCGCTGAGGTAGTCATGTCTGACTATTCATCAGAGGGTGATATGGATGGTTATCGTGAGCCCTTCCGCCCACGTGTCAGATACCGTAGGTCTCTCCCTCCGCATTACCATAATCCTCGATATAGGCATGTCCACGAAGAATCTAAGGATATTACACAAAGAGTCAAAATGGACGCTCCTAGCTTTGATGGTAGGTTAGATCCTGTTCCTTTCTTAGATTAGTTGGATGACATGGATGACTATTTTGATTGGTATGATGTGTCCGACAACCATTGGGTTCGTTTTGCCAAAATGAAACTTGTTGGTTTGGCTAAGAGATATTGACAGGGAGTCCAACGAGACCAAGAGTGCCTAGAGAGACAACCCATTACTTTATGGGCTGAGATGAAACAAAGATTGCGAGATAAATATCTCCCTAGTTACTATAAGCACCAACTCTTGGATAAGTGGATGAACTTGCGTCAATTGACCTCAAGTGTGACTGATTACCTAGCTCGATTTGAAGAGCTCTTTCTGAGATGTGACATAAAAGAAAAGCTTTGGGTAACAGTTACAAAATTCATTAATGGCTTACAACCTGAGATTAAGAGAGAGCTTAACTTACACTCTCCTGAAACGGTTGAGGAAACATATTATAAAGCTTTAGAGATTGAACAATACCTTAGGTCACCCTTTCAGCATCGAATGCCTTCTCAAACCGGAGAATCTCAACCATCAAGGTCAGTCCCATTTGATCTGTCTCAAGGCGTCACCCAGTCAGGCCCTGTCACATCCAGGGGTAATAATTACCCCAACTTGAGAGGTAATACCACTAGGGGTCGAGATTCTACACTCACAGGTTCTCGTCAGGACAGTTCTTCCATAGATTGTCACCGTTGTCATGACAAGGGTCATATTGCTTCACAGTGCCCTCAGCGTACCTTGACCATTGACCAGGGATTAGAGAATTCACTTGACAGAGAGGATGTTGACCAAGAAGTTGATCCTTTGGATGAGGAACCCTTAGAGTTACTAGATAAGGGTGAGGAAGAGTGGCAAACCGATGACACACATGTCAGTGTGATGCGATGTATCTTATCCACCCCTTCAGACACAGCAACATGGAAACGCACCAGTATTTTTTATACTCTAGTCCGATGTGGGGGTCAAGTTTGCAAGGTCGTCATTGATAGGGGAAGTTCATCGCTAAATCAGTTGTAGCTCAGTTGCAGCTTAAGTCAAATACACACCCACAACCTTATAAAGTCGCATGGGTTAATAAGACCTCCTTACCAGTCTCACATAGATGTTTGGTCCCTATTCAGATGGGTGACTATTCAGATCATATATGGTGTGATATCTTACCTATGGATGTCGCTCGTGTCTTGTTGGGTCATATCAATGTTGTCAGAGAAGTTGTTCAAAGTCCTCTAGAATCTAAAAACGATCTTTTGCCTGAGGTAGATAGTCTATTGAGAAAGTTCCATGATGTGATTCCTGAGGAACTACTCGATGAGTTGCCACCAATGAGAGATGTTCAGCATGCTATTGACTTAGTTCCAGGATCTCAGTTGCCTAATCTTCCCCATTATCGTATGAATCTCACTGAGCGTGCTGAACTCCAAAGGCAAGTAGATGGACTGTTGCAAAAAGGGTCTGTTCGTCATAGTCTTAGTCTATGTGTTGTCCCTGCTTTGTTGACCCCTAAGAAAGATAGCTCTTGGAGAATGTGTGTTGATAGCCGTGCCATTAACAAAATTACAGTCAAGTATCGATTTCCTATACCGAGACTTAAAGATATGCTTCACCTTTTGGCTGGTGCACTTTGGTTCTCCAAAATTGATTTGCGCAATGANGAGGATGTTGACCAAGAAGTTGATCCTTTGGATGAGGAACCCTTAGAGTTACTAGATAAGGGTGAGGAAGAGTGGCAAACCGATGACACACATGTCAGTGTGATGCGATGTATCTTATCCACCCCTTCAGACACAGCAACATGGAAACGCACCAGTATTTTTTATACTCTAGTCCGATGTGGGGGTCAAGTTTGCAAGGTCGTCATTGATAGGGGAAGTTCATCGCTAAATCAGTTGTAGCTCAGTTGCAGCTTAAGTCAAATACACACCCACAACCTTATAAAGTCGCATGGGTTAATAAGACCTCCTTACCAGTCTCACATAGATGTTTGGTCCCTATTCAGATGGGTGACTATTCAGATCATATATGGTGTGATATCTTACCTATGGATGTCGCTCGTGTCTTGTTGGGTCATATCAATGTTGTCAGAGAAGTTGTTCAAAGTCCTCTAGAATCTAAAAACGATCTTTTGCCTGAGGTAGATAGTCTATTGAGAAAGTTCCATGATGTGATTCCTGAGGAACTACTCGATGAGTTGCCACCAATGAGAGATGTTCAGCATGCTATTGACTTAGTTCCAGGATCTCAGTTGCCTAATCTTCCCCATTATCGTATGAATCTCACTGAGCGTGCTGAACTCCAAAGGCAAGTAGATGGACTGTTGCAAAAAGGGTCTGTTCGTCATAGTCTTAGTCTATGTGTTGTCCCTGCTTTGTTGACCCCTAAGAAAGATAGCTCTTGGAGAATGTGTGTTGATAGCCGTGCCATTAACAAAATTACAGTCAAGTATCGATTTCCTATACCGAGACTTAAAGATATGCTTCACCTTTTGGCTGGTGCACTTTGGTTCTCCAAAATTGATTTGCGCAATGATTATCATCAAATCCGAATTAGACCAGGAGATGAATGGAAAACCGCATTTAAAACCCAGGATGGACTTTATGAGTGGTTGGTCATGCCTTTTAGATTGTCTAATGCACCTAGCACATTTATGAGGGTTATGACTCAGATACTGCGTCCTTTCCTAGA